CTGCGGGACCTGCGGGCCGGGGGCGTGGAGCCGGCGGGCCGCGTCCTGCTGGTGCGCGTCGGGGGCACCAGCTTCGCCCGGAAGGTGAGAGCGGGGCGGCGGGAGGGCGCCGGCGTGGGAACCGGAGGGCGGGCCGCCGACGGGACGCGTCCAGGGGGCTGCGGGGGAGCAGGGCGAGAACTCAGTGGGCCCCACGAGAATGCTGCCTGGGAACAAACCAGGAGGCGGGGGCAGTCAGCTGGGGCCCGGCGGGCTTTGAGGGCTGCCGAGGCACTGCCCGGGCCGGAAGACGCTGGCCAGGCGGTGCCCCCGCTCAGCCTGTGCGCGGGGTGGACAGTTGGAGATCGAAGGCCTGGCCATTTCACTTGTCCTGGCTTCTGCTGTCCTTACGAATCCTTTTTCTTCTGGGAGAAGTCTTGTGGTCACCTCCCTCCCGCAGGTGGCCAGTGCCCAGGATTTCGGGGCCCGAGGAGTGCTCATATACCCCGACCCAGCAGACTTCACTCAGGACCCACACAAACCAGGCCTGTCCAGCCACCGGGCTGTGTATGGACACGTGAGTGGGGGAAGCCAGTAGGGCCTTCCCCAGGTCCCAGGGCTACAACTAGCTTGGAACTGGGCTGTTGCGATGTATTCCCGAAGCTCAGCCCACGGCTTCAGGGTAGGCACCGCTCTCCCCACAGGTGCACCTGGGAACTGGGGACCCCTACACGCCTGGCTTCCCTTCCTTCAATCAAACCCAGTTCCCGCCAGTTGAATCCTCAGGCCTCCCCAGTATCCCGGCCCATCCCATCAGTGCAGACATTGCTTCACGCCTGCTGAGGTGAGGCGAATGTGAGGAACCAGGAGGGGAGGACGCAGAGAGAGGGCGGCTGCCACTAGCCCATAGGGTGCCTCTGGGTGAGCCAGAAAAAGGTGACCCCTCTGGGTGGACACAGCCTCCTGCCAGGGCCCACTGATTGGTGACCGGATTGGATGTCCACTGGATTGCACATTCACCTCTACTGGGTACCTTTGAGCAGGACACAACCTGCAGAATTGTCTGAGGTAGTCCTGGCTGCGCTGTCCCCGTAGGCCGAGTGCAGAGGCAGAGAGCTGGAGCCAGAGGGTGGGAGGGAGAGAGAGAAGGAAGAGGGTGCTCTGGGCTCTTCTGTAGCCTGGGCCTCTCTGCCACTTCCAACCCTTTCTGCTTAATTCCTCTCCAGGAAACTCAAAGGCCCTGTGGCACCCCGGGAATGGCAGGGGCGCCTTCTGGACTCTCCTTACCACCTGGGCCCTGGGCCAGGCCTGCAGCTGGAGGTCAACAACCATAGGGCCTCCACCCCCATCAGCAACATCTTTGGCTGCATTGAGGGCCTCTCAGAGCCAGGTGTGCTTGCCTGCCCAAAGGGAGATGGGGGGCACATCTGTTCAGAGGAGGGAGACTGAACTGGGACTGGTGGAGTGGCAGTGAGAACTCTTATTCTAGCCTGTCAGGGATGGAATGGGCTCTGTTGCACAATAGTTGCGAGTTCCTGAGCGCTGGAGGTGAGCAAGCCTACGTTGGATGGCGTTTAGTCATAGAAACGCAAGCCTCAGAAGAGATCGGATTAGACGGACGTCCCTTTCAAGCACAGCTAGATGTGGGTGGTGGGGGGGAATCAGAGTAGGTTGCTGAGCTGGTGGACAAGGCAAAGAGCACGCTGGGCAGAGGGTGGTGCCAGGAAGTCCCCAGACAAGTGGCGAGGGAGAGGCGCAGAGAGGCCTATGGGGAGGCTCAGGTGAGGGTGCTGGTGGAGGGAGCGGGGAGGGGAGGGGCTGGAGAGAGAGAGGGCTGGAGGGAAAAACCTGCCAGGACTTGTTGACCAGTGGGACAGGGCTGACCAGAGAGGGAACGAAGTCCAGAATGACCCACGCACCCTGAAGGAGCCGGCCATCCAGGGGAGGCCAAGCAGAGAAGGGACACTATTTTTTTTTGAGTTGGAGTCTCACCCTGTCGCCCAGACTGGAGTGCAGTGGCTGCTCCCAGCCAC